AACGCTTCCCCTTCCGGAACTGATCGCGAGGTTTACTCCGAAATTCAGTGCACCGATACCAGCCGAGGCTTTACGACAATGTAACATAATACGAAGTTCAGTGTCGAAGGGCTATCGTTTTACGAACGACACCCGATCTTTCTCTTACCGAGAAATTAAACGCCTCCGATTAGAGAGGCGATCGCGAGGACGAGTTCGATTCGGTTCTTATCGGTTCGTGTCATGGGAAACGGGGGCGTCTCGATTCGCACGAAAACACTGCAAACGGTTATTAACGGGAAGAGAGGGCGAAGAGCGAGGTGAGAGAGAAACGAGAGTGAAAACAGATAGGCGGAAGAAAAATGAGGCCGGTGATGATCGGGTAACGCGCGTAATCATTATTACCGTGGTCGCGTTTACGCGAGCACGATGACGAGGTGGAAGTTTTCTGCAAATGTCACGGGAGAAGAGTCGGGAACGGGGCTGGCCACAGCTGTTTCTATAAATAACCAACCCCGACTCCGATGCAACGCCGCCAGATTCTGCATCTTCTCTCGAAACCGCGCCGGCAAACTATGGTTATTGACCCTCAAACACACGCCACCACCTATTTTCGTTTGTAAAATAATGAAACAGAATTCGCGTAATTCATATACCTCGTAATAATTAATTCTTCTCCCGATTTCCAATCGGTTTTCCTTTGGAACGAGCGAGATTCGGGCAAGGGTGAGGTTGGTGAGATTTGTTCGCGAGCGATCGGATCGGTGAAATTTCAAGAAAAGTTGCATCATTCAGAAACAACGGTGACACATTGGCGACGACCGGATGCAATTTGCGGTTTCTTTCGGGACACTTCCACCACGATGGTCGGCGAGATCAAAGGCTCGTTAAGGACGTATTGCCGCGAAACTGAGGCAAAATGGATTCAGAATGTTATCCGACCACGTTTCCTCCCGCGTTTAATCGCGCGAGCAAGGGTGCACTGACCTTCGATCAGAACCGTTTTATAGATGGTAGTAATATGAAATTACGGTTGTTCCCACTGTGACTCGAGTACACTGCGAATAATTTAAAGCTGAGGTCTGCCTTCGGCTAATTGCCAGTTTAACCTCACTTTCTCGTCCTCGAATAAAACCTGCTCGAGAGAAACAACGATTCAGAGACAAACAAAAATTTTACAATTGAATTATCGATAGAAAAGGAAATGGCAATCGTAAAATAATCCGATTCGATACAAGAAGCGATGATCTTGAACGTTCAACAAATCTGAACCAGATATACCCAGATACGATAAGAGAAAGAAAGAAAGAAAGAAAAAAAACAGATAAAATTTATCATCCAGATCGTTCTATTGTCGATCGAACGAGCAACAAGATCCAGGAACCTTTTCAAAATCGGCCATACACACAATGTACTATTTCAAAGCGTGCGAGATATGATATCGGAGGTACTCGTCCTGCAATCGTTGTGGTACGGGCTCACGTTCGATACCACAATCTCTGGTGGACGATCGACATCCGAGATTCGGGGAACGAGCCGTTGCATCGCGTTTTATGGCGCGTTTTACTCCGGTGTTGTGCCTGACCATCGGTCTTCTCTCCTCCCATCGTCCCTCCGCTCTGTCTCTCCTCCTCCTACTCTCCTGTCGATCCGACCGGCCGCGCCGTCTCTTTTCGCCGTAAAGGAGGCTCGAGCAGCGGTGCAGGGTCATGGCCGGACATCGTCTGCCATACTCTCGCCTCTACACCCACGCTACATCTGTTATACTCGCCCCCTTTCGCTCGCTGCACCCTCGTAAACCCGCGTTTCATTATGCGCCGAATATAAGTTACCGCAATTTACGCCTCTGGCTCGCTCCTCTCGCTCTTGTTCCTTTCTCCCTCCTTGTTCATGTCTTTCGTTTTCTCTACGTGCAAGAATCTTTTCCTGCGTGTCGTGTACCCGAGTTGAATTTCTCCGATTATTGTTGGAGAATGGAGAAGAGAGGGAAGAATTGGAGAATCGATGGATAAGGTTGGAAATAAACGTAAGACGATATAAGATACTTAGGATCAGAGTTATAATTGCGATAAAAATTAAGTTTATAACGGTTATATGAAGTTATTGTATTGTTTTAGTTACTTTGCATGCGAGGCAATCTTTAATCTTATTGAATAACGTTATTATATTCGTTAGTTGTCGTTAGTTTCAAACAACAAGTTAACATTATTTAACACTACTCGATAATGTTAGCGAAAAGAACGAATGCAAATTTGACAGCGAATACAAATTGTTAAGAATTCTTGGAAAAGGCGTCAGAAGAAGGCGTTCGAGGATCAAGGACCTCGGGGAGGAGGACATTGAAACCGAAATCGAATTAATCACGCGAGAGAAACGGCTAGATGTAAATCACGCGATGACACGAACGTTTCGCAATCTGTATGGTCCTTTTTTCGTTTCGTGAAATCACGAAAGGTGTCGAGATATCTCGCAACCATCTCGCGATGGACCGAGATTTTTCGACGCTGATTCACGGGATGTGAACGACCGCTGTCAAATGTATCAGAATTTTCGACAAATGGTGCAACAGTCGACGGGAGTCAACGACCTGGATGAAACGACGATTTCTCGCGACACCTCGAACGTTCGTGTGCGTTGCGAATCCGACACAAACGAATACAAAGTGAACTTGTTCAAATTATACGCCTTAATTTTGCCAAATTTGTTTCGCTTTCTTTATTCATTTATTTTTTTCTAATCTATTTCGTGTAAATTGGCCGGTTTGATCGATTAAACTTTACGATTCGCGATTTTTTCACAAATTCGAGGAAAATTGTAATTTCGTAAGTAATCTTTTGAAAAGGAAACAGGATGCAGAGTCGCGTTGTTCCACTCGAAAGTGATCCGCGTTGTACCGCGCGACAACCACGTGTTGCATTTCTACTCGATACGCAACGTGCTGTCCTACTCTCGAGTGTGTGTACCCATGCTCCTTGGTGTATGAGAAGTGGAAATTAATTGCGTCGCACGTATTACAAATTCAAACGCATTCACAATTTATTGAAAGTAACAATTTCAGATTTGTGTTTACAAAATGAGTATAACAAAAATAATAAACATATTTGAATAAATAAATAAATAAGTAGATAAATAAAATAAATAAATACAAAATACAAAAAAAGAAAAGTTTAAAAAAAAACTGCAATTTTAATACATCTGCTTTTAAAATAACTAAAATTGACTTATAAATTTTTCACATCAAAGTGCAACTTCGATGTTATAAATATGTTAAAACTAATATATATAATGAGAATTATATTAAACATTTTATTTTTTGTCTTTTCTTACTTAATATCTTTGAATGACTAAATTTTTTTTGTACATTTTGATATGTTTTTCGACTAGAACAACCAGCCCCCGTAGACGTAGTTAGAAACGTCTCGCGGACGGTGTCGTCAATCTCATGCAATAGCATCTAATCGGTTGCCCTTGTCTTCTAATGCATCTTCCTGAAAAGCCATCGGACAGTACCATAATAAGAACGTTATCTGTATCCAATGGATACATCGTAGCGATGAGACCGATGCCACATGAGAAAAGAAGGAAAAATGCCCATAGCACGTGACAACGAGTTGACCATGTAGACCTATTATAATGGTCGTTCCATTCTGTTCAAGAAGACTCAAAGGCTGTTGCCACGAACAAAACAACTTGTTCATCGCAATGGATCGCTCGTAAGATGTGTAAGGATGCGGACGAAAATCTCGAGATAGGTGAGAATGTGTCTTAAAAATTCGTTGAACTCACGATTTCGTGATGACGGATGCTGTGCTGTCCTGCTTCGAAGTACCTGTTGCAGAGCAGCGTATAGATCGAGCATCAATTGCTCCAGCTGCTGTGTCTGAGTTTCCGCTTCGTCGTCGGAAGGCAGAGCGAATGGAATCGCCATTTCTTGACGATTGGTAGATGCAATTCTTGAATTACTGCTCTCTTCTCGTCGACACTGTAATCGAACCAATGTCCGTCAATCAAACACTACCACTTTATCGATCTTTTTAATTATTTCTATTCTTCGCTTCTTCGTTAATATCTCACGCACAGAATCGATTTGTGATTTGAAGATTTTTTAAGAGTCAAAGGGATCGCGAGCACGTTAGCTCCCGATTCTACACAAAATGTATTTTCGTGGCGACACACGTGACTTTAGGTTTCGACGGCGCACGCTCAATGTTCGTCGCCACAAAGACTATTGTCGTCACCGATTGTCCGTAGAGAAAACGCACGTGGTCAATGTATAACACTACGCCAACAAAAGTTGACGAAAATTGTTACTCACGGATCAACGACGATCGATTAAAACGAATGAGCACACGATCGACGCGTATTTCTTAATTACGTCTTCTGAAACGCCTATAAGGTGGATCCTCGAATGGATCACTTTCCATGGGTGGAAAATTGTTCGTGGCCGAGTTTAATCGATTATCGAACACCGTTAAACGGATAATCGAGATTCACTACAATTATCGAAGATTGTAATAGACGGCGGTGCGATCGCTCGTTCGACAGTTTCCACTGAAAAGCACCGATGACAGTTCGAAAACGTCCCACGGGACGATGGCACAAAGTTCAATGTTCTCTGATCGAAAGATACACACGATGCACTGAAAGTTTATCGACAAAAACGTAAATTCGCTTTCCTCTTATACGAGCACAAACGGAATATCCGCGCGAGAGGGAAGAAAGCAGGGAAACGATCTGTTTTCTCTCCTTTCCCTTCGTCCTTTCGTTTCGTTCAATTCCCATGCACGTACAAAGTACAACACGTTGCGTCTCGCGACTGTCCTCTTTGGCGCGACTATCACACGTGTATATGTATCAAATGTGTAAGAGAGAAAGTAAAGCGACACGAGAACTCTCGACTGAGCTTAGGTAACGAGAAACACGTCTACACTCCTCGAGGTCTGGCTTGGTAATGATTCTGTGCTTTCGTTTCATCCACTCGGTCCGCACGTTCTGCCTTGCGGCGGCAACCGACTTCCCCCACCATAGTTGCCTCGCGCGGCCGGTTGCCCTACTGTGGTGGGGAAGCGATGCGCGCGCATCCGGACTCGAACGATGCGAGGAAAGGAAGAAAAGAACAGTCGCTAGTGGGGTCGAGTGTGTGTGAGTTGTGCGAATGTGTGATCGTGTGCTTGCGCGTGGTTCGTAGCGTTGTAAATTTACCGGTTAGGGTCAAGTAGGGTAAAAAGATGGAAGGAAAATCAAAACCGAACGTGGTATCATATCCCGTGTTCCATGCATCGACGATACATCGATTCGATACATCAATAAGAAGGGAAGCGATGCGGAAGAAGTTTTAGCGCGCGTCATTTTTCCAGGTTCGCCATGTTTTTTTTAACCTTATCATCTTTCTTTTGTTCTCCTTATTACGTTCGCGTTTAAATCGTAAAGAAAAAGAATCGCTCTTTCAAGGATAAGAGATTTTCCTTTCGAGCATCCGATACGAAACGTTTGTGAAGGCATAGGCAAAGCAAAGCGTGTAACATGTAGCAATGAGATCTCGACAGGAGAGAGAGTGAGAGGGAACTCACACAACGAACGACACGCTTGTATGTACTTCGGAACGGTTCGTAAAAGCGCGTATGACACGATGGAGCGACACCCGAGCGTAACTGCGTAGTTTCTGCGAGCAACTTCATGGGGGTAGTTGAAGGAGTTTTGTCAGTATTATATTTTCAGAAAGTGGAATTGTGACTTCGTAAAGTTATTAACGATCGCTATTGAGTAACTCGAATGATATTTACGTATCGTTTATCGAATTGTTATACACTTTCGGCCGCCATTTTTGCAATGAAACAAAGCACGAAATAGATACATCGATATGTCGATTCCGAATTACAAATAAATCAAATTTTACGGTATTTTTCGAAGATTCGATAAATATTCATAGAATCATGATACTTGATAACGGGAAAACGGAAAAAATTGAAAATGGGAAGAGAAATAAGAATATAATGTATTTCTACTGTAAACGCTGATTCACGTGCAACGTTTCTAACTGTAGAATGAAATCATATAAATAAATATCGGCATATTACGCTCTAAGAGGATTAAAAACAAAATTGAAAGAATAACAGAATCGAAAATCTATATAATAGAATACATTAATATTATCAATTATATATATTCGTATTCATTTTATTATTTTATTTTTATTATGTTGAAAAATACAAGTTCAATATAAAACTATTAAAATATTTGTTTATATAATTAATTACTAACAAGAAAAATTTAAAAAAAAAACTTAAAATAAAATGAAAACATGTAAGAAATTAACATTATATTTATTATCAAATATATTTACAAACAGACAAAATCTACAACCAATTACGCCGTATATACACATCGTCGAATTCGATCATTACTGTGACTAACACACTACACGAAATTCATTCTTCCTATCCTTATACAAATTCTCAGACTTATATCTAGTAGTTTCACAATACTAGCTTTACCGAATAATCATTTTTCGCGATTCGACTTGCAAATCCGCGAATACAAAAAGTCAAACGAAAGCAAGGAACATGCGAGGTATACTCATACGTGTTATCCTAAGTACGATGCACCGATTCGAACAAGCGATCGAGCGAGAGAGCCACTCGAATCAGCGAACGATCGAGGATTATCTGCATTCACCGGGGCAAGTTGACGACAAGGCACAGGAGGAGAATAGATTAATGGCGAGAATGGCACCCAGAGATATTGTCATTGGATATCGGATGAGAGAGAGCGAGAAAGAGAGAGAGAAAGACCATAAGACAGAAAGATAGATAGAGATACGTAGAGACGAGTTAAAGGCTAGGTGAATATCCTTCGTATATTGGGGATGGCGTTACAGAGAGATGACGTTACCGCGGACGATAGAAACTGGAATCGACGAGGAAAGTCGCGATGGCCCAGTCACACCACATCGATATCGACAGATTGATCCTTAATTTCGAAGGTAAGCAACAATTTTACGCGATTCAAATAGTTTAAGTAGATACATTTGCCGCGCATTTAATCAAATTCACAGACGTAAAAAGATATTAATCGAAGAACGCGAACAAGTTTCCATCCGGTCGCAGATCCATCCATTCGTCCGTCCGTCGGTGATTTATGACCGGCGCGTAGATTTTATTGGGATCTTAATTAGACGGTAATGTCGCGGCTACCAAGTTACGTTCGCGATTGCTATCGTTTCTTTGATTTCTTTTTGCGTTTGAACTGTTAGGGGACGAAACGTTAATATTGAACATTATCGAGAGCGAAGATAATAATAGATAAACGAAGCAATAGAGATACTAACGTTTTAATTTTGTCGATTCCTTACTTCTTTCTCCAAGCAGATTCCTTCTGAATTATCCAACTGAATTATCGTTTTATGGTCTTGTTTAAATATGAACAGAATGTAAAAATTATTGTTTAAACACTCGTGAGACAGGAGAAGATAAAGTTTGCCAACTTACACAAAACTGTATGATTTGCTATTTTATCAGACTACCAATGGACTCTTCTGCTCTCGCGTTTATAAGGAAATCGTTATCTTATCGGAAAATTATCGATTGTTAATCGCAACAAGTAAGCAAGAAAATATATTATAAAGAAACTTTATCAATTTTTTATGATAAAGTTGATATATGATAAATTTTAAATGTAAAAATTCAAGAATTAGAGAATCAGATATTTTCCTTGTTTATATAATTTTTTGAAATCTTTTCTCATCTATTATTAAATCGAATATACTATTTCAAATCTATGTACTTTTATTATATCGCTATTTTTAAAATTGTATTTTTTTTTTTTTCATTATCTCCCTATTTTAAGTATCTCCCATTTTTTTTTTATTACAGAATCGTATAAATTCTTATTCAGACAATTCGATACACGATTCATGTGCGATTTCAACAATATTCTCGTAAAAATTTAAATCATCTTGTCTTAAATCTTTTCTTCAATACCATTCTTTTGAATCCATCTTTCCTTCGATCAAACCAAGAAACGAAGAACTCTGAATCTCATATTATAATTTATCAGGATTATTCTAAATCTTTGTTTTATTTTTTTTCGGTGTTGCGCGTCGCTTAACCACCCTTAACGATCCAGAGAGTTTAGCCGCTCGGAAGTGGATCTCTGTCCCCGGTGGCCCGGCCACGGGGTCTCTCGTTTTATTTCCACGGAAAGCATTGAATCGGCTCCCGGTAGCGGCGAGATTTAAAACCGGTAGCACCGTATGCCCCGACCGGATTGTATATTTTTAGAACGACCGGCATCCTCGCGTGGGCGGACACGCTGGTCACCGATCCAGGAACCTGCGCCACGTTGTTTCCATCGTGCACGATGATCCCCTTTTGTCGGCGGATCAACCTCGTCGCGGATTTCTCGGCTATCGTCCTTCTGGCAATATGGCGTGAAGCGAGGATAATTCGGCGGGATTTGGGGGAACCGCGCCAACCGTGCTGATTTTCGAGGAGAAATTTTCGGTGGTGGGATGGCAAGGGGTGGACCTTTATCGTCGTTCCGCTTCCTATTGAAGTTTTGAAGCGCGGGGATTCCAAGTATGAATAATTTGGGAATAAAAAGTTCGTTCGTTTTTTATTGAAGATAAAAAAATATGAATATATATCTCTGGATATATGGGCAGAGATATATTATATTAAACAAAGCTAATTTTTTTTTTACCAGTTTCAAGTTCTTTCCAGCTTGAAATAATTAATTTGGAACATCGTATCCTCGAGTAAACTCTTTTTAAAAATTGTTGTAATCAATCGATAGATAACGAAAGAAGAGAACAAAAAAGAAATATGTATTCGAATAACTAAAATGATAAGTCGGTTAGATGAGTAATAATATTACGTTATCCAAAGTGTTATTCGCTCGCTGATATACGAAAAAACGTTTTTTGCATTTTCTAACGTTATAGGTACTAGATGCTACCATTGCTCGCGAGGTTAATAGCAAGAGCAGCGTTATTAAGCGACGTTCATGCCGGGTATCAAGCAAAAACGCGTCAGTTGGACGAGTAATTGACCAAGATGCAAGGATACGAATGAAAGTTCTCGGCGAGGTCGTTCGAAGGCGGACAGAGTCGGGAAAAATTATGGACGAGAATTATTTTAACCGTACTTCAACGTTTTCTGATCGTTTGAATATATTTTTCAATACATCTTTCATCTTCCTCGCTGTAATTTTATTCTATTCAGAATATTATGATCGTAACACCGCGTGCTCTTCTTGTTTTTATACTATAACTGGATTATAGTATAAAAAAGAGATACCAGTGAATCTTTATGGAAGATTTCAAACGTAAAGTATTATTTTACAATCGAAACGAGATTATTGCAATTTGTCTAATAATTTTTTTTTTTTTTATCTAAATCCATCGAACGATTCGCTCGCTTGTAAATTTTAAAGAAAACAAGCGAGCGAAAAAAAAAATGATTCGTTTGAGAATCATATCCAAAAGGTGACTCAACTTATCACGTTTGATGTTACGAATTGCATTTCTTATCATTTTTTATCGGGTCACCGGGTGCGTTAACCCTATCCCGCCGGTTCATCGAACCAGATTTATTGCTTGTTCTGTGCAAATGTCGGCCCTGTCCGCCACGGTGGGAAATTATTAAAATAGCGTAACAATCTTCCACGTATCGCCAAGTCAGTAAGCCAGGTCATAAAAAGTAAAAAGAATACGAAATACGGAATAACAATAGCCGGAAAACTGTGGCCGTGGATTATTCGTAATATAATCGAGCAAATCTCAATCAATCGGCTTAAAAACTCTACGATTATTTCACGAATTTCCTTCTCGTATCGAAGGAACGCTATTGTTGTTTGCGTCCGTCGAATTCGCTAGCTGGACGAAACAAAATATCCCGTGTAAATAAAGAAGAAAATACGATCTATCGATATCTTGACCAAACAATAATAATACGTTTCTAGTTCTGCTTTTCGGGATCGAAACACGGTCGTTCGAGACAAACGTCGAAAGAGAATCGTAGTTAGTTCCATAATCTATAAATAATATAGGACGTTACAAAAATCTCATTCTAATATTAATCTCAAGATAATATTCGATTACGCTTTCGATTACGTTGTCTACGCTTTTTTTTTTTTTTTTTTTTTTTTTGATTTTTTTT